CAAAATAGGCTCATTTCCTACAAATTTTGACAGAAAAAAAAACTCTTGGAAATAATTACATATGCCCACTTTAGCTGCATACTGTAAAGTGATACTATTTTCTCTTTTATATGAATAACACAACTTACCAGCACCCCTCTGTGTGTGTGATACTAGTAAATGTTTTACATACATTTCCTTTGATACTCCTAGGAAGCCTACTAAGTAAACAATGTTATCTTCGTCAAGAAGATGAAGCAGAGACTGACATACTAAGCAGTTTGCCCAAGACATCAAAGCAGGAATGGAAGGACATTAGGTCCCAAAATCTGGTCTCTCTGAATCTATTATTTTCAATACTATGTCTTTCCAGTTTCATCTTGATACTGAAACAAATTCCCTGAACTTTATGGTCTTAAATAAAAGAAATGTGTTCTCTTATAGTTAATTCTGGATTCCCAAGTCTGGATCGCTATGTTGCTCTGTAGGCCAAAGAGGAAAATGAGTTTCCTTACTCTTTCCAGCTTCCAGATGCTGCCTACATCTCATGGCTCATGGCTATTTGCTGTACTTCAAAGCCAGCAGCTTTGCATTTTCAAATATCCTTCCATCTCTTGCAAACCTCTTACCAAAGGACTACTGTAAATACATTTAGTGTTTATCCAGAAAATCCAGGGTAATCGGCAGATCTTAAAAGGTTTAGTAATACATACAAAGCCACTTTATCATAAAATGCCATGTTCACATTCTCTAGGGATTAGAACATGGGTATCTTTGGGAAGTAGTTACTTAGTGTATTACTTTTCTAGCCACTAGGACAAAATAACTAATGTAAATACTTTAAAGGAGAATAAACTTATTATGTTTTCAGAGTGTTCAGTCCATGCTGGTTGTGAAGGCATGGCAAATGGAGCCCCTCCATCTGCAGCAGTGAGAGACTATAGCAGGTGGCTTCTTGCTTGGTAGCAGAACAGGAAACAGAGAGCACTGGCCTGACCCCAAAGTGGATATATCATTGAAAGTCATGCTCTTACTGTCTCACACTTCCAGATTGGTCCCATGCCCCAAAGATTCTACCACCTTCCAAAACAGCCCCAACCACTGCAATCCAAGAGTGACAGTGATGGACATTTACATCCAAACCATAGATAGCAGTTCAGCCACATGAGGGAGTCGATTGCCTTTAGCATCCAGCCTAGTAGCAAGTAACTGACATTCAGCAAACAGCATACATTATTAGTACTGAAGATGATTAGCAGTGGTTTAAAATACACATCGTATTTAAATGTTTGATAGTAATAGAACAAAGGTTGGAAGTAGATGGAGTCAGCATTTCTGTGATTCTTGTTGGGGAAATTATATTGTTAGTAGATGTTTATATATTGAGATCACATTACTTTTGAAAGAAAAACAAAAGTAAAATAAAAGTAAGTAAGAATAACAAATGTAATCTAATCAAAACAAAATGAAAGAACAGAAACACAAAAGACAGAAACAGTAAGATGGTAGATTTAACCTTAATTTTATTAAATATTAATAGTCAGTTCCTATTTAAAGAAGTTGTCATGTGTCCAAATGTCTGAAATTATGGGCTAAGGGAGCATTGGAGCCATGGCAGACTCACAGGAATACTTTGAAAGTGTTAAGTTTGCTTTCTGTCGCTATGATAAACACAGTAACCAAATGTACTATGGGAGAAAAATAGGTTTATTTGGTTCACAGATTATAGTTCATCACTGAGGGAAGGATGCCAAGGCCGAAACTCAGGGATCTCAAGGGATTGGAAGCAGACATCACAAAAGAATACTACTTATTAGCTTGTTCCCCTACAACAGATTCACCTGCCCAAGAACAGCATCACACACAGTGAGCTGGGCCCTCCTAAGTCAATCGTTAATTAAGAAAATGACCCCACAGACATGTACACAGGCCAGTCTTACAGAGGCAGTTTCTCAATTGAGGTTCCTTTTTCTCAGGTAATTCTAGTTTTTGTGTCAAGTTGAGAAAGACTCACCAGCATGGGAAGATTTTAAAATTGCAATGAAAACAACAATTCTTGATTTCTTTCAGTTACTGTATGCACTACAAGAACTAGTTCAGAGTAGCTTGTGGCTCCAGAGATGGATTATTGTAGGCCAGAGTTTTGTAAACTTGGATTTTAACAGTTGCTATGGAAAGAGTACCACATGAAAATTAATTTGGAGCAGAAAATGAAATGGGCAGTTTCAGTTTGGTTCCAAGTTTTAAGATGTTACATAAGGCCTCAAAACTCTTTGCGTAATTGTGATATGGACCTGTGTTATTTGAACATATTTAATAAACAGAACTGTTAAATATTCTTTTAGACTGTCATTAAAAATTGCTGAGACTCTAAAGACATTGTAGCCTAAGTTTGAAAAGTCTGTCATAATGACTCAACAGTAATACAAACAAAAGGAATAAGACATATATTTCAAGACAGGGCAGGTGAATATAAAAGGATGGAAAACACCATGTCAAAACAAACCAATGTAAAGCTTGTTAAATGGCATTATGATAGTATTGTCTTTAAATAAATATTATGTGTTTATATTTAAAATTATTGATATAGGGTAGGGGAGATAGCAGTTAAAGTACTTGTACAGGGATGAGAATTCATGTTTAGATCTCCAGAAACTCATGTTGATGCTGGGTGAGTGTGGCAGCCTCTGAAGGTATACACATGGGATAACCAGAGTAATTGACCAGCAAGACTAGCCATAACAGCAAGGTCTGGGTTTCACTGAAAGACTCTGCTTCAATGAGAAAATTGGAAGAGTTGATAGAGGATGATTTTCACCATCATCTCAGGCTTCCATGTGCGCGCACACACACACACACACACACACACACACACACACACACACACACACTTATATGGTCATGCAACCACACAATGCAAAACCATGAATATTTGTATTCACACCAAGCACAGTTACATTACACACACACACATACAGACAATCAAATTAGAGATATTTTATTACAATAGAGGTTAATCTTTCATAAAATATGACAGTTTAAATTTGCAAGATCTAATGATACAATATATAAAAAGATAGGCATAATGAAAAGAAATAGACAAGTATATAACAAAATAGAATATTTGAACATGACTTTTTAGCATCTATAGAACAAGCAGACCCACCAAAGTCAGGATAAATATAAAATAATTTTAAACTAGCATACATACCAAAGCTGACCATATGCAAAATAAGATGCAATCAGTTTAAAAAATAGCTAGAAGTACGTTGTTCAAATTTTTTGTATGCCTTAATTCACCCCTTGTACTTGAATTAATTTATTAAGAGTATGGGAAGAAAAAAGTCATAACAAAAATGTAATATTTCTGAAGTTAAATTAAGGTGATATTTTCCCAACAGATAATTATTGATAACTTAATATTTGACACTAACTGGTAACTAAGTTAATTCTGCTAAGCCTTAAGGGAAGATAACTGAGTCTAGAAGTGAAATAAAAACATGTATCAGAAAATACATTCACAAAATGAAATAAAGTTTCTGTTTTTGAATTTTATTATTTTCCCCCCTTGGCCAAAGTGTTGATCCATTCTTGAATGCCAGAGAGGAGGATCATGGGCCGTTAGAGCTGGCTGGACAACTGATAGTGATAAGGGTGATGCAATTCATGAGTATGTTTTGGTGCAGGAGAGAATGATGAGGGGGCATGGGATGGATGAAATCTAAGCGCAGGTACTCTGCCTGGCTGAAATTTGAAACCATGTGTTGGAGTTTCCCCCACTGTTAAAGACTACCTATATTATATTAATATGTTTTGTGTGAATTAAACTACATACACATTGCTTTCAAAAAAAAAAAAAAAAAAAAGAGTAGAAGTATCCACAACTCCAGCTCCAGGGCATCCAACATCCTCTTCTGACCTCCAAAGGCACTGCATACATGTGATGCACACATATGCATTTTTAAGCACAAGAGTCATGATAAAATGAATAAATCTGAAAAAATTGTTCTTAAATCAGAGACATTATTCATAGATGCTAATTACAGTTATTTTAAAAGCTTATTATAAAAATACCCATTAAAGAAATCATTCCTCTTACTACTATTATTATTTTCCTTCTTTGATCACATCTATGAAGTATATTGGAGAGAAAGAAAAGATGCACTAGAAGTTCTTCTGTTAAAAGTAATGTTGCTGTGGTCTCATTCTCCAGACCAGTGCACAGACCCACCATGATTTTCATTTGCCAACCATATAAATAAAACTGATGAATCCAGTTTTCCCAGTGGAACATCTTTGATGTATGAATGCCACCTAGGATATTTCAAGAGGCAGTTCTCCATCATCTGCCAACAAAACTCAGACTGGACAAGTACTGAAGATATATGTATACATAAGTAACTGCATAGGAGGCTGACAAACCGTGGATACTTTGTGACAAATAGTAGGGTCTGCTTCAGTTTGTCTGGATTTTAAAATTATGACACATGCCATTAATAATGTTATCTAAGGTGTATGGTACATTGAATCATTCTTGTAGGTCATATCTTTTTACTCTGTGCTTCTGTCTTCTCAATTGTTAATAAATTTAATAATAATGACCATCACAGGGCATGATTGAGGGAAAATATCCTCAGGATATTTCACTTAGTGTGTCCAACTTTGAACAAGTGTCACTAAGTAATTAGTGATTCTTAAGAAAGAAAAGTGTATTTAAAACTAAGAGATTAAAAAAATCCTAGACTCTGAGGTCTGTGAATTGGAACACTCAGAAGAATGCTTTGGGGATAAATGAAGTAAACATGTTTTGGGGAGTCATCATGTGAAAATAGGAAGGAACTTGGATAGGAGTTCTTTTGGAAAGTAGTGTCTGATTAAGTTTCCTCAAAGTGGCAAAAATCTGTGAAATATTACAATTATGTATGCTCTCTAGAGTAAGTTACAGTCAGGTTAGAACCTCATAAACTAAGGAAAGTTTAGTTTACTTTACTTGGTTCCAAAATTCTGTTTCTTTCTCACAGGTAAATCATGTGAAACTCCTAAAGATCCTGAGAATGGCATAGTACATGTACACACAGACATTCGGGTTGGATCCAGTATTAATTATACTTGTAATCCAGGGTAAGTTGGCAACATCTCTGCATTCAAGACTTCTGGAACAGTAGTACTACCTTCTCAGCAGGTCTCAGGAAAGACATCTAATCTGTTACTTCCTAATTTGGTTTTTGGTTGTGTTTTGATATGTTTTGTGCTAGAGGTTGGTAAAAGAGCTAGGTAGATCTCTATGTGGTCAAGGATACAGCCAGCATTGGAGACACACACCTTTAATCTCAATACCATAGAAGACCTGGATGGCTGTACATACAGGCAGTGATGAGGCAGTCATGTGTTTGGGTTTACAACCAATGAGAAGACAGAACAGAAAGACTATATAAAGACAAACACACAGAAAGTAGGTCTCTTTCAGAAAGGTAGGACCACCGCAGGAGGAAGGGTAAGGTTTTAGCTCTGAGCTCGGACCTCTTGGCTTTCTTCTTTTTTTTTTTTGGTTTTTCGAGACAGGGTTTCTCTGTGTAGCTTTGCGCCTTTCCTGGAACTTGCCTTTGAGACCAGGCTGGCCTCGAACTCACAGAGATCTGCCTGCCTCTGCCTCCCGAGTGCTGGGATTAAAGGCGTGCGCCACCACCGCCCGGCGGCTTTCTTCTTTACATTGGTTCTGTGTTTCTTATTTAATAAGACGGCTGTTTACATCTACACTTTCCTCTACCCTGCCTTCTCATTCTCTACCCTATTTAACCCCTCCTCTTTCATTATTGCCCCTTCTTCCTTCACACCACCTTAGTTAAGATGCCATCAGCTTCAACATTCTTATTACTATAAGGTCTTTTTGTAAGCTTTGAAGTGTAGCTGGAGAATTTCTCTTCAGCTCCCATCAAGCCCCGCCAGTCCTGGAGCCCACTTATAAAATAAACATACAGAAGCTTATATTATTTAAACTGCTTGGCCATTGTTACATCTACATTGAAAAATAATCACAAAGATTACCTGTAGTAAATATACAAAGATAAAGTTATGAAACAAAACCACTACCAGTGGATCATCAAATTACAAAGGAAAAAAACAAGTGAGAAACAATGGAAACAAACTGGAAACCAATTAGAACACAAAATTAATATGTGCCATTCCTTACCTATAAATAATTTGCTTGAAAAGAAAATTAGTTATATTCTCTATTAAAAAAATCCCAGTGGCTGAATAAATACAACAATATGCAATGTCCTACAAAACACTTAAGATATAGCTTTAAAGCACATAATAGGAAAGCAAATGAAGGGAAATGATACTCCATGAAAATGTCAAGTGGAATAAATCTGGGTGATCATTAATTATTGGAGAAACTAAGTGGAAAACTATCACAATAGGCAATATCATGGATGTATAACTTTTTCTTGGATAAAGTAAAGAAACAGCTAGCTATTCACACAGGTAAAGAGGGCAATGACAGATCAAAGAAAAGATTCTATTCAAGTACAGCTTGATGAATCAATGTATTTATCAGTATTACTTGCAGGAGAATGATTGTCACAAAGGCAACTTCATCGCCAAAAAGTCCCACCCTTGGCATGGATAACTCAGGAAAAGCTACACTACTGAAGTATTCCACCTTCCAGTCCATATTCTGCCTCCTCTAAATCCTAGTAACCCTCATGACTGTATGTAGTTGGGGCAGGAGGGAATGGCACCAGTAATTTCAGGTGAGGGTCTTGTGACCCTTCCTTTTCCTTCCATAAATGCATGCTGACCTAGCTGTGAGCTATATTTTCTGTTTATTTCTGCAGGCCAAGTTCTCCTATAGATTACAACAATTAATTGTTGGTGATGGTCATGGTAAGCTCAGAGGAACTAGATGCACTCTAGGCATAGAATGGTAAATGGTTAATTGAGTAAAAGGATGGAACAATTAAAAATGCATATTCACATCAGAGCACATGAATTTGTAAAGCAAATATTAACAGAAATGAAGGATGAAATTGAAAGCAATACCATATTAGTACAGGACTTCAATACTCCCCTTTCAACAATAGATAGATCATTATTGGTTAAAATATTAAGGCAACTCCATGTAGTTAAAAGTGAAGTTTATTTTGTGGGGTAACTTACAAGTGAAGGGATAGGTTACAGGGTCTGGGAAAGGTGTACCTCAGACCTGCGGTGTTCTCTGGAAAACTCTGCTCGGTCTACCTCCAGCATCCAGGGTCCAGGAAGCAAGAGAGCCAGCACATCTGGATCCTGGGTCTTCAAGGGTCCTCTCTCGGCTCTGCCTTGTAGGCATGACAGTTATGGAAGCCTCAGTGGGGGTGGTCCTTCCAGATCAAAGCTGGAATGGCTACCCACTACATCTCCCCATTTTTGTCTAAATAAGAAGGTTCTAACCGAATACAAGACTATATACAATAGGAATGATTACCAAATATTGTCCAGGAGTAATAAGGGATAATGACCTAGATAAGATGGAACTACAACCAACATGAACAATATCAAACAAGAGACACATACTAAAATCCACAGAAGTATAGAGCATAGGTAAATGGCATGTTACAAAGATCATTCCAAAAGGTGTCCTATCCTAAAGAACCTGAATCTAACACTTAATATGTTCTAAGATTATATATATATACTAACTTGTAACTATAACTGCTAGTCTTCAATCCCATTAAAGACCTGAGAAGGAATATAATGATACCTGAGAAATGGAAGCTGGATGCAAGCAACTTTCGGGAATTTTGCAAGAGTAGAATGAGACAGCTAGCAGCCTGGACAGTCACCTAATATTTTTTAGCATTGTTGGTCCATTCAAATTGGCTACAGGCCTAGAGTATCTGACAGACCATTTTCAGAAGCAGGAATTCTGAAAGACCATCTTACCCTGTTTTGGCAAAGTTCAGAAGTCACTTTTCCTTGTGTCCCACTTGTCCAGAAGGACAGCATTTGTATTGTCAGCGGTCGAGGCAAGGGCAGTTCTTTGCCCAATAGGCCATTTTGTGCCAAGAAGACAAACTTCCAAATGGAAATGTCTTAGAAGCCCAACATTCTCTCAGGATCAAATTGGTGCAGCCAGGAGCAATTGTGTCTCACATCAACAGAATTCTAAGTTATTTAAATGCCATATTCTCTAGGTTCATGAACTGTCTGAAGATTACCTCTCCAGCCCACCTGTGTGTAGTGGGTAGCCATTCCAGCTTTTGGAACTTGCCCCACATGAGCACCAGATATTGGTGAAATTATTAAGGCCACTCCACGTAGTTAAAAGGAAGATTTTTTTTTTAATTTTATTTATTTTATTTTACAATACCATTCAGTTCTACATATCAGCCACGGGTTCCCCTATTCTCCCCCCTCCCACACCCTCCCCTTACCTCCAGCCCACCCCCCATTCCCACCTCCTCCAGGGCAAATCCTCTGCCAAGGACTGCGATCAACCTGGTAGACTCAGACCAGGCAGGTCCAGTCCCTTCCTCCCAGACTGAGCCAAGTTTCCCTGCATAAGCTCCAGGTTTCAAACAGCCAACTCATGCAATGAGCACAGGACTTGGTCCCACTGCCTAGTTGCCTCCCAAACTGATCAAGCCAATCAACTGTCTCACCTATTCAGAGGGCCTGATCCAGCTGGGGGCCCCTCAGCCTTTGGTTAATAGTTCATGTGTTTCCTCATTTGGCTATTTTTTTTTCAATAATTGAGTAAAACCGAAATTTATTATAAGCCACAGTCGTCCTAGAGACCTCCATGCTATATGTATAGCCTCCATGGTTCTGTGGGTTGTGGTCTGATTGTTCTTTATTTTATATCTAGAATCCACTTATGAGTGAGTACATACCATGACTGTCTTTCTGGGTTTAGGTTACCTCACTCAGGATGATTTTGTCTAGTTCCATCCATTTGCCTGCAAATTTCATGCTTTCATCGTTAAAAGGAAGATTTATTTAGTGGGTAACTTACAAAAAAGGGATAGGTAGGTCGTGGGGTCTGTGGAAGGTGTATCGCAAGTCCAGCTGTGTTCTCTGGAGCTCTGCTCGGTCAACCTCCACCATCAAGAGTCCAGGAACAGAGAGAACGCTGGCCCATCCAGATCTTGGGTCTCCAGGTGCTTTCTTTGGCCTTACCTTGCAGGCAAGACAGTGCCAAAGTCTCAATGGGGGTTGGAACTTCCAGATCAAAGCTGGAATGGCTACCCAATCTTACCCATTACTCTAAGACTTGCTGCAGAACCTACAGTTAGTCTAACTGAGATTTAACTATCTGAGCTTTCTTACAGTACCCAACAGAGATATCATTACCCCCTAAACAGAAGGATGCAATTCTAAGAAAAGGACGCCCCTTCTCCCTAAGGTTTCATATTTCATATTTCATATAAGGTTATGTATGATGGTTATAAGGTTCAGGGTGGAAGAAAATATTAGACTCAGTATTCTCCTAAAAAAAGGAAAAGAAGAAATGGAATGGATAGGTATAAGATATTATGGTAGATTATTGTATATACTAGTAAACAAATTTAGTAAAAAAGCAGCCTTAGATAATTTGCACTGTTATGGATTCTTATATGTTGATACAAATGTAAACTTTTTATATTCCTGTTTAAGATAATTTGTATATTGATACAAATACAGAACTATATTTGTTATAATGTACATATATTTCTACTCTTATTTGAAATATTTGTATATTGATACAAAGGTAAATTTATATCTCATACTTTATGTATGTTTTACTTCTGTTTAGGATATTTTGTATATTGATATATATTTAAGATTATTGTCATATTGCATATCACACTATATATTCCTACCTCTGTTATAAATATCTTGTGTATTGTCACAATTTTGAAGACATTGTCCTTTCATTTTCATTTGCTTACAGACTATTTACCTTGTTTACATGAAGCCTTAGTCCTTAGGTTATTTAGGTAGATAAGACTTATAGATTTATAGTCACCTATGCTTGTCATCTCTATAGTTATGTTAGGTTATCCAGATTTACAGATATATAGGTCAGATGGACAGGTAATCTTTTTT